CACACACACACACACACACACACACACACACACACACACACACACACACACACACTGGCAAAAGTGTTTTTCCAGGGCCCGGCGCCACCCGCAGCAGCGTAAACAATAAACAGGCATGTTGCGTACGTGCCGAACTACGCGTGTTCCGGACTCGACCGGCACACCATCGTTCACGCCGCGTGTCAACAAAGTTGTTTTGTTTGGCACCTCCAGTGTTAAAAAAAAGGCCCCCCACGCAACCTCTGGGTCGCCCCGACTTAGCCCGCCACCCTCTCCCGTGCTATCTCGCCATCTGTCTGGCGGCGGCGGCGACGACGAGGCGCTCGTGTTACACGGCGGACTCGGAGCAAATTGTCTATCACTTCAAAGTGGCCGGCGATTACCTCCGTGAGTGATTAGGGGGCCGTTAAGAGGCGACCACTTGAGCATTGCCAGTGAACCCGTGAAGGAATGTCGCCCGGGCTCGGTAGCGCGCCGGGGAGAACGCCCCCGGAGATGCACAAATCCCATCAAGACTGAGCTCGGACGCTTTCTTTTCCTTTTGCTCCGTCTCGCGGCTCCCAGACGGGAAACAAGCCAGCGGCCGGGGAAAAAAAAAAAAAAAAAAAAGAGTCTGGAGTCAAGAGTTGAGGCACTTGCAGAAAAGCGCCACCGAAATGGGGAACTATTGAAATGTTGGTATTGCTGACTTTTGTCTTTTCGCATCTTTTTTCAAGGCTTTGTCTTTTTTTGGGGGCTTTTCTCACACGTACGCAAAACACTCACACACTTCCATGCACTCACAAATTCAAACATATACACACACACACACACACACACACACAGAGTAATCTCTGCAAGAAGTGATGGTCCAGTTTGTTCCATATTTTCAAAATGCACTAAATGCAAGAAACATGACCGAGACAATTTGCTTGCTTGGACCGTCCCAAATTGCAATGCTGAGCTCGATCTGGCCCGCGGGCCTCGAGTTGGATAGCAGTCCTTTTCAAGGTGTCATTGTGTGTGTGTGAAAAAAAATAAAATAAAAAGTACACGGTCGACACGGCGACATTAGTGATTGCACTATATAAAGTCTTCACGCCTCGTTTAGTTTGGCTGTCGTCGTTTCGTACAAAGAAGAAGAAGAAGAAGAAGAGGAGGCAGCGGAGGGTGCGTTTGATTGCCGCGCCATTCGAGCGAGGAGCGCGGAACACGGGGAGCGCTTCATTCACACGGCGGCCCGACATTAGCGCGTAATGAATGGCGCGCGTGCGTCGGTGCGGCCGGGCAGGTGTCGTCGTACATCATTAGCGCCGGCTTCCCCCGCGATGAAGACTATTATTCTGCCAAATTGATTCGGATTCCGCCGCCGTCATAATGGCGACGGCGGGAAAGATGGAACCATCAACCACGTTTTCCCCCGCCGAGAAAGAAAGAAAGAGAAAGGAGCTAAGCCTTCCTCAAATGACTTTTTTTTTTTTCCTTCTTCTCCAACCCGCCTATCATGAAATGTTGGCGATTATCTCCCATATGAAATGCTCAAATTGAATTCCGTCTCTTTTTCATTTAAGTAATAATTGAGTCCGCGTTTGGGAGCACTTCAAAGGCGGCGGGGCCTCCGGGCGCCCTCGTAAATGACGCTATCAGTTCGGGATTGGCCATTAGCTCGGTGTCAAGTGCGCGCCAGGTGCCCCTCCTCGTCATCGCCGTCTTCATCCTGCTTTTCGCTTTTCTTTTCATCGCGCGGCCCTCCGCCAGTCGCGCTCTACCCGCTCTGGGCGCGTGTGAGAGTGACGACGAGAGAGTGAGGGCGCTCCGCCCTGCGAGAGACTGCGCCTGAGTTACAAGGGAGTTTCGCCAGAGAGTGTTTTCGTGGGTGCAAAACAGGCGTGGGAGCGTGTGTGTGTGAGTAAAGCACCAAAGAGCGAACTTGGGTGAGGGTGAGTGAAGCGAATGTGAATGAGCATGCGGCGAGAGTGTGCGTGAGAGTCAATGTGAAAACGAGAGAGCGAAAGAATGTTTTAGAGTGTGAGAGTGAGAGCGAGACTATTGGAGAGGTCGAATAACGGTGACAGAATGCGAATGAGTTGAAGAGTGTAAGTGAGTGAGTGTGTGTGTGTGTGTGTGTGTGTGTGTGTGCAGGTTGTGTGAGAGCACCTGTGCCTGCATTAATGTGTGTGCGTGTGTGCGTGCGTGTGAGAGAGATTTGAATGTAACACCACAAAGATTTTTGTGTGTTTAGTACAAAACATCCGACGCCATGTTTGATGTCTAAATAAGTCCACACGAGCGCACACACACACACACACACACACACACAAACACACACACACACACACACACACACACACACAGACTGGACATTTCATTAGGTACACTCCTCCTGACGGTGTTGTAGATGCCAGCGTCTTGGACGTTTATTTGATTGACGAATCAATCCTAATTCCGTGCCAGTCAATCTATATTTTTAAAAACGCCCCTTTCCACGATCAAAATACTTGGCTCGTTTGTCCAGGCGTCCCTAACGAAGCGTCCGGCGAGCGGTTCCTCGGTTTCCACCTTGTGACTGTCACCCGAACGGCGCCGTAATCTGGAGGTGAGGCGCATTGTCTCGGATTAACGCCAGTGTAAATACGCGGCGCCCTCCTTCGCCCCGCCCCCGCTCCTTCCTGTTAAGTTATTCATAGAAGTGCTGATTGCAGCCGCTCGTCGCCGCCAAATGAGCTGCGCGTTTGTTATTGCGGAGTAATTAGGAGCGCCATCACGCCGCTCCGAGATGACAGGGTCACTTAAATACTTTCTCTCTCTGTCTCTTTCTCGCCCGATTTACGGAAGCTGAGGCGGCGAAGACGCCGAGCGCGAGCAAAAGCGCGAAGGAGGCAGTCCTTATCTCAGGCAATTAATCGCAGCCGCTCACATTGTGGCACAATTAGTCAAAGCTCCTGCACGAGTCAGCCCAAAGTTGCGCGAGCGGCCTCGCCGTCTCTGCGCTCTCTACGTGAACAAAAACTCCACCGGCTCACTGCCAGGTCGCAAAAACGGGGCATCGCCGACTGGGTCAAGGCGACTTGAACGCCAAAAGGTTGGTGAATGTAGTTCCGTGAATGGCCATCGGGGCTCATGTCCGTCAAGCTCCATTTCATGCACGTTCGAAGCCTTCAAATATTTACGCACCGCAGTGCGCGCTAGCCGGATGCTAACACGTGATGCCGAACGCTCGGACACGGAGGGGCGAATCTCCGTCTTGCGACTGGAACACACCTGGTGCGGCAACTCAGACAAACAAAGCACTCGATGGCCGAGTCGTCTTCTCGCTCTTCAATGTGCTGCATCGACATCCAGTCGAGCTCAGTGCTTCTCGGCATGTTGTGGCACAAACATTGGATTCATTCCCCAACTTTTCAGTGAGCTGCAACTAACAGATCTTCGGCAAAATAACAGCTCGCTTAAAGGACGCAACAAATGTGACGAGACCCTTAAAAGCCATCCGGGCAGGATTAAAGATGCGCGCCGCGCACCGCGCGCCGCGAGCTGCGCTTTGGTCGTTGTGAGAAGACGAGGTGAGCTCGTTCGTCGCCAGAAGGCTCGTCACCGAATGGAAACGAGCTCCCCGAAATGAAAATGTCACCGCGTAAAATGTTGTCAGCGCGCCTTCGTCGGCGGACGGATGACAAATCCGCATTCTTCCCGGAATAAAAAGGCGGGCCGCCCGGCCGCCCGACTCATAATCAGGGCGGAACAAAGCGGCGTGATTAACGATCGCAATTTATTGTATCTGCCGGCCGGCCAGGCCGGCCGGCTGTTGCCGCGACGGCGCGGCGGCGGTTATCATAATTCATATCGTAAATAAGCGCGGGCGGCCAATCAGGAGGCGGCGCCCGTGTCATCCCAAATAACCTTTGATAACAATTACCATGGAAGGCCTCCAGTCACAATGTTATCTGCTCGCCGTTCTCGCCGTGTAGCCTAGCACGCTATTACCATATAGATTAGACTATTTACACCGCGCGTGGCCACCGCTCGCCCTGCGTGCGCCTCACCGTTCGCCTCAACATGTGGAAGTGGAAGTGGGAGTCTCCACATCTGTCGTGCCCCCCCCCCCCCAAAAAAAAAGTGGCATTTCTTTCTACCCGGGTCAGGCCATCTTTTGTGTGCGCTTGAAAGTGTGTAAGTGCGTTCAGTATCTTGCGCAGGCACATTGCGGTGGACCGGTTTTTGTCTTCCTGGAGGGTTTGGGAAATCCTTCAAATTAGCGGCAAAAAAGAAAAGCGATCAATGGCGCAGATTAGCTCCGCATATCTTGTTCTTCCTCTTGCTTTCTTTTTATCTCTTGATAGGAATTCGCTCCCGTGCACAGGCACAGGCACAGGCACAGGCCAGACCGCATACAATGCACAGCACACGACCAAAGCCCTTTTAAACGTACTAGCAAACACCAAGCGTTGGAAAGGCGACAAAACTGGAAAAAAAAAGAAATAAATCATCATAATCTGGTGTTTAATCTGAGCCACACGCTGCTTCACCAAATCACTAATTAGCATGTGATCACTTTCTTCAAACACCACTTTTGGGGAAAGGTCAGAAAAACAGAAGGAAAAAATTTCTAAAGGAAGGTTTGGTTTTTTTTTGGCCTTGAATCCTGTTTGGAAAGTGCGCCACATGCTGCTTCACCTGTCTACTCTTTGATTCCCTTTTAATCTGGCCCTGATTTCTCCCGCTTTTCGAAGAATATCCCCAAATGACCTTGACTAATGAGCCACGTGCTGCTTCACCGAGTCATTTTGATTCACGTCCGTGTTGGAGCCTGCTGTAGTTCATTTTCACAACGGTGACTTTCGGAAGGACTGCAAAACGGGAGCAAAAAAAAAAAAAAAAAATCGTAGGAAGGACATGTTTTTTTTTCTTTCTTTAATCTGGCCTTTAATCCGCTCTAATATCTGCATGTTTTTTTTTTTTTTGAAGTGTGTGGAATGGGAAGCGATTAGTATTTTTTATTCCCTCCAACCCCAACCCCAACCCCCCATCTTCTCAGGTGGGAAGCAGCAACATCGGCAGGCGTCGTGGTCCTCCCTCGCGCTGGCTCGTGTGGGCCCGCCTGACAGCATCTTTATTCAAATGAAGATGCCGTCAAGGCAGATTAAGTGCTCGCCAGCCCACACGGGATGTTCCTGCCAAAAAGTACACATCACATCTCGGCGACTCCTCGTCTTTCAAAAAAAAAAAAAAAAAAAAAAAAAAGTTTCAATCTTGATGGCACGCACTGCCTTTCCCCGTTCCAAAATCATGCATGTTGGACACTAAATTGCGCAATGGTGTGAACGTGAATGAATGTTTGTCCATCTATTTATGCTTGCAGAATGACTGGCAACCATTGCTTGCCTCTCATCATATTTTATGGGGTGTTTTTTTACACACACACACACATGCAACATGCAACATGTATTATGAGTGAACCTACTTTCTCTCCCTCCGTGGTCACATGCTGCTTCAAGCCTCTTCCCGAGGCGTTCCCCACACATACTTTCAAGTCCACACCGCACATAAAGAAGGATGAGAAACCAAAATGGAGCTTCTTACCGTTTGAACAGCTCCACACAAATTGCTGCGCTTATTTTCAGTGATTACTTTACACACGGGCAGTGTGTGATATGCATTTGGAACAGTAATGGAAGTATTTTTTTTTTTTCCCCCCCGCATACAGGATCACATGCTGCTTCCCCACCCCCTCAGGGCCCCCCACTCCCTCTTTTCCTTTCGAATACACACACATGTACCTGTCCCACTGACACACACACACACACACACACAGCCGCACACTTGACACCCCCGGCCCTTCCTGTGTTGTAAAAAAAAAAAAAAAAAAAAAAAAAAAGGAACATCCTACATTGTCTCTATCGCCCGCTAATCTCCCGGGCGGCTTCGTGAAGGTTGGGGAATTTGTCGTCTTGTGAAGTCCTTCACCTCATCCTCGTTGTCGCTCGCCGGCGCTAATTCTCGCTTTTATCCGCAGGACGTCCGAATGAGACAAACTTCAAGGTCCTTTGCCAAAGCTTTTCTGGTCGTCTTTGCAGGTGGAACAAAACGAAACAAGAAAAGCACTTTGTCCACGGTGACCGCGTGCTCGCGGGCCCCTGCTAGCATGAGTGTCTCGCTAGCTGTCTTGGCCCACTTTTGCCCTACTGACATGACAACCAGGAGAGGGAAGAGTGGGTCCAACTGTCTTACGAGTCGTGTTTTTCTACGACTCGTGCCACGTTTGGCCTACGACGACACAAGTAACTTGCAGATCGACGGCTGTGCCGCACAGGCGCCGGGAGCGTAAGACAATGCGTGCTTGATTTTTTTTTCTTTTATCTGCCCCCCGCCCCCTCCAATCTGTGTACGTGCAGCTGAACCGGGGCCGTCGGCTCCCAAAGATGGGATCCACAAAGTGATTTTAAAATGTTTTTTTCCCGCCGCCGCCGCTAAATCTCTTGATCACGTACATTTTTTGCTAGGCTGCTCCGCGGAAAAAAAACGTTATCAGCGTCCGGGCCCAGAGGTACAGGAGGACGGCGGCGGGCGGCGCTGAATCGGCAGAGATTAGGACGCAAGACGCCGCCGGCTGGCTGGGGGTGCGGCGTGTAAGGGGCTTACGCCGCACCTTGTATGAGTTCAGGTGAAAGGACGCTCGCCGTTACTTACAAGTGGACAAATCCGCCCACAATGCATTTCCCGCCGGACCACAATGCGGCCGCGCTATCTGCGCACCTCACCTCGCCTACCCGCCGACCTTCCCTCGCCGCAATCCAAACAGCCAAGAAGACGACGGGCAGGCGCGCGGGGAGGCTCGGGGAGAGAGGGCGTCCAATCAAAGTGTGTTTGCCGGCGAACACTAAAAAGTCATATTTGGAACTTGGGCTTTTGGGAGGTCGTCCAATCGCCCGTTCGCATTCCGCTGCTTGCAGCTGAACAAAAATGCAAAATGATAGCAAGCACTGCTTGGCAAAATGGTTCGTTTTTTTCACTGAAAAATTCTGAAAAAAGCGATGACATGTTTTATATGGGGGGGGGGCGTTCTGATGGAAAAAAAACATTTTGAAATAAAAAGGCAAAGCTGCAGCACTTGAACTTCTTGTTCTTAATCTTCTGAATGTGGCGGACGCTGCACTGGGCTCATAAAAGGCGTGGAGCTCCCCGTTCTGCCTGGAACAATAGCCCCAAACGCCCCCCCCCCCAAAATAAAGTGGAGCCATATCTGCGATGCCTCTTAACATCAATTTGGGACATTATCAATCAATTTGGACCCAAAGCGTGGGCTTCCTCTTTTCTTTGAAAGCGAGCGAGGAGCTGCTGGTGAGGTTAAGTAGGCGGCGTGTCTTTTTTCGGAGAACGCCCCTCAAACACTTAGCCGCTGATTTGCATAAGCTGATAACCGCTATCAGGAGCTGGCCATTGTGGTGACCCTTGAGCCCCCCCACTCCACCCCCACCAACACTACATTGCATCACCCTCTTTTCAACACTCCCCACCCCTGCCACCTCCCCTCCTTTTTCCCCCCAGTGAGGAGGTCTTATCAGGGATGTACAGGGGCCTCGCCAGCCTCCTGGGGAGGAAGGTGGAAAAGGAGGGTTGCGGGCACGGGGGGCTGGGAGGTGTCATTGGATGTGTCCTCCAATGTTTCATGCCTGCAGAATGATAATCGTAACAGGAACCAGAAGAAACTTTATTCCTGTCGGAGAGACGCTGCGTAAAAAAAGAAGAAATACCGCCGCTGGAAGAAATCAGTCCACCACCGATGAATAATAAATAGATTTCCGCACACAAATAAAATAAAATCCCATAAAAGTTGAATTGTGTGGCCAATTACAGCTTGATGGGTAGGGAGCAGGGGGGGGCGGGGGGGGGCAGCTCGGTTGTGACGTCAAGTGTGAGCCAAGGTCGTTGGTGCAATGCTAGCAAAGAAAGCGGCCCTCCACCAAGCCCAAACTGGGGATCAAAATCCAACAAAAATCCAACGTGAGAAGGAAAACTGAAAAGCCACTGCAGAAATGTTGATTTTTTTTTTTTTTGAAGGGATGCACCAAACGTCAGCTACAAATGCTCATTTTGTTTCTTTTTGACAGAGACGGGTTAGATTTTTTCCAACTGACCCCGACCCTCAACGACCTGTCAAAACGAAATCAAATGCTGCGAGGCTACTTCCTGTTTCCTGGATGTCGCAAGACTCATTTAAGGTGGCGTATTGTGTTTTTTTTTAATCTATTTTTTTGGGTGAGGGGGGACGGGGGCAGACTTGGTTGAGCGCGACCTCCTCCAAGACTCGAACGTTGACTGTCCAGTACTTTGCGTGATCACTTCCTGACGCCGATGGTGGACTGCAAATTGAAGGCGCAATGCCCGTTTCGCTTTGTTCGGTTGCCGGCGGTTGCCGCCAGGCGCCCTTGACGCGGCCCGGCCGTTCAAGGCGCCGCGTCCCAGTTTTGCGGCCGTTCCGGCAAACTTGCGGCAAAGAGAGCCAAGCGCGCCCGCCGCTCGCCTTTGGAGCGT